TATTTAGGTGCAAAAAGATGGATTATTTGTGCTTGTGTTGGTGTTCGGACATCCTAGACCTGTTGAGTACAGATAAATCAAGGTGAGCGGAAAAAGAGTGAAATTATACATCTAAGCCTTAGCACACTTTTCTAAGCCGCGGCATGAAGACGACAAAACTGATTTTGAGCCGCAGCAAACTTTGATTCACTGCGGGATAAAGTTGATGAAATCCAAATTGGACCATGGCATAATTAAATTGCGCCTGGGCTCAAATAAACCGAGTTGCGGTGCAAATCACACAGAATGTAAAAACTCCACACTTTCAACCCTAATTTCAGCGACCAGTATTTACAAGTTTGCCTTTTTGTCTAAAACTATATAAAGGCAGCTTTAGTCCATTATTAAGGAGTTTTTAGGTTTGATATACACATTTAGGGAGAGAATACATTTACGGCTTCTTGGAAAGGTGAAGCTTGGAGAGGAGAGGAGGTTTCCTTCCTCTCCTCCTTTGTTCTTCATGATTATGGTTCCGGGTATTGTTGTTTCTTTTCCTTTATGTTGAATTTTTTTTAGGGAATTGATGTAATCTAATTGAAGGCTTGTGTTTTATTGTTAATCTATTTGTTTGATCCATTCTATTATGTTCTAGATTCATTCATTGCATTTAATTCAATCTTTATTTGATATTAGGGTCTGATCAACCTTGATGTTAGTTAATTGATTGTATGAGACAAGATTGTGTGGAATGGTTGATTTGTAGCCCTGCCCAGGTATAGATTGGCTATTGTCTTTAAGATCGTCTTGTGCTTAATGGGTTTTCATTATTAGACTAAGTTATACGCCACTAGATAGTTTAGTTGATGGAAACACTAGGTTATTCATAATGGTCGCAATAATACCTTAGAAACAAGAGACGTCGTGCCTATCTTGATTAGCTCTGTGAATGGATGATTTGTGTCTATGCAAATTGGTTCCTTCATTGTTTAGACTAGGCTATACGCCAGTTTCTGTTAGTGTATATTAGTGTATGCCCTAGAAACCATTCGTGTTATCAGTTTCATAGCATTTTGTCTTGTATCTATATATCATAAATAATAGAAGAAAGAGTTCTTCAATTCATATATATAGATTGCTTCCTTTATTCAGTCATGCATTTAAAATAAAGTACATATATGAATTGTCTAAGCTGTCATAGACACCCAGAATTAAAACCTAAAAACACATGATAATTTGCTGCGTCAGGAATCATTAAATCTTAAGAAGAACATTCAACTGAATTAAATGCAACCGCTTGTGTTTGTGTTGTTCAGCTTTATCGATTTCTCTAGCCCTTAAGGCTGCCACTAGATTAAACCTTTAGGCTTGTCTGGGTTGTTTAGTAGTAAGATTAATTAAGATCGCTTGTTTCCTAATTAATACAATTAGGAGAGATAGGAAAATAGTTCCAACGGTGAATCTCAAGTAAGAATTGATTTATTTTTGCAGCAATGATCAGTTGTAGATTCCGATGGTGGATTTTGACTTAGACCAAGTTTCATTTTTTGATTGATTTCGGTAATTTAGTTGAATTTCTTTTCCTGAACTTGTTTCTGTTTTTACTCAAAACCCCCCAGCCTTGTTCACATAACATTAAATCCGGCTAGACACTCTCCGTGGGAATGATCCTGACTCACACTACTACATGTGTTTAGGTTTTAATTCTGGGTGCCTACGACAGCACGCCAGATTTTGAATACCCCCAAGCTTAAGATTTGCTCATCCCCAAGCATCAGGTAACAACTCAAAGAAAGAAAAACAAACAAACAAAAACACAAACAACAAAACTGAAAACGAACAACAAAAATTAGACTCAAACTCAACACAAGAATTGCCTAGAATTTATACAAGTCTCTAAGGTTGTTGAAAAATTATTACTAGAAAATGTTCAACACTCCAAGAAGTTATATGTTGCATCGACTATCTTTCTCTATTGGTCCCCCGAGTAGGTGATCCCCACTTCAGTCCACATTCCGACTTCCCAGATTATTTTATGCAGAGATGCAAAGTTATCAAATGGTGGTAAACTCCATAAGCCTAAGTATCGAACTACTCTCCACTAATGTGGACTAGACATCACTAAGGATCAAAGGTCTTTACAAGCTTGTAACGTTAGACTCGAGTAGTGGGCTCCAAGAAATGATAGGTAAACAAAGTAAGAGACTCAGTTTTCCTCATGCAAACACTAAGAGCTACATCAATCTCCACTTTCTTTCTCAACCACCAATCAAAGTGTCAACCATTTTACAACCCTCAACTTATGCATTTCTCTTATTTTTTTATTTGAACTAAAGAATTTTTTTTTTTTCTTCTTCTTTTTTTTTTTTTTTTTTAATTTACAAATATTTACAACACTATTGAGGTCTATTGCCCCTTCTTCCTGCCCTTTTGCAACCCTCAAACTTAAGATTTGCTCTATCACTATTCACACACCTCTCAAAGCTCTTTTGTGTCATACATTAGGTCCATAATTCTCCTAAAGGGTATGATAAAGTGTTTAAGGTATGGATTGGACAATTTTTGGTTTGCAAGGTAAATAACACCATGATAATCTCATAAGGCTCAAATGGGTGACTAGGAGATTCATTCATGGGTTGGCTGGAAAGGCTCAAACGTTCCGAAAAAAGCCTAAATCATTTCCTCAACAATGTCTAATCCTAGAATTTCGCCTCAAGCACTTCTTAACAGTTCTAGAGTCTACCAACATTATTAAGACTTCACCTAACCACATAAAATGTTTCTAAGCATGCCGAAGAGTGAAAATGGTGGTTGAACCACTCAACGAACCTCAAGCTAAATCAAGTCAACCAACCTGAACTTGAAGCAATGCTTAACATTTTCCAAAAATAATACCCACACATTCTAATCTCATCATAGACTTATGCAATTCATCTAGGCAAACAACAACACACACACACAAAACACACTAAACAAATAACCATCAAGAACTAAAAAAAAAACACAATTTCGAGCTAAAACACACAAACAACTAAACACAAAATTTGAAAATTTTCCTACCCCCACTTAAAATGACATTGTCCTCAATGTCACATCATGCACATCCAAGGAATAGAAACAAAAGTAAAGGTACATACTCCCCTAATTAATCCATAAAGGTCGATTTTTGTGCAAAATCCTGGCATCCATTCCTTAGCTTCCATCATCATCATTTGTCAAACAATTGAAAGTCTATATGCCAAATGGTTAGATACCCTCACTGATTAATATGAAAAATTACATCATGATCTCAACCTTATTGAACTAAACCTAAAATCTAAACAAAACAAATAAAGAGCTAAAAACCAGGAAATCAACATCAATTCATACTTACAAACATAAAGAAATAAAAACAAAAACAAAACAAAACAAAAGTGCTTCAGGCTTCAATCTTCTTCTACTTCTTCCTCCTCACCACACTCCCATTTGCTAAAAGCACTTCAACACAACAAACCCAACTTCCTCAACACCAAATTAAATCAAAATCAACAATTTCTACACTCCACAATCAACTCAATCCTCAACTTCCAACCAACATCCACAATCAACAAATTCAAACAATTTTTCAACAAAGCAAATCCATATTGAAAGTGAACAAATAAATTGCACAAAAACTCTTAACCTTACCAAGCCCAGCTTTCCAACCTTCAATTGCTCCAATTTCATTAAAACTCACAAAGAAAGCTCCAAATTTTCAAAACCAAGGTTGCTAAAAATATCTTCAAAATGGGTTAAACCGGGCAATTGAAGGTTCGTGATTGTTTAAAGAGGTAAGGAGTGGAATGGTGCAAGAATTTTAAGGGAAAATGGTGAGAAATTGAAGAAGAGAAAATAATTCTTTGGAGGCTCGGGCTTGAAATTGCAAAAATGGAGAAAATGAAGGTGGGTTTATAAAGATTCTCACGTTCGCCGCGACGAAAAATTCTAGAAAGCACTTGCCTCGGCGAAGAAAATGCTTCACCACGAACAAAACTGGAAGTTTTCCTTTTTTCCCTTAGTTCGATATTTCACCTGAAACATCCGAAAACACACGAATCAAAATCATTCTAATTCATAAAAAAACTAAACAAATTCAAAACAACAAACAAATGACAAACATTGAAAAACAAATGAAAACACTTGGGTTCCTCCCAAGAAGCGCTTGTTTATAGTCGAAAGCTCGACTTTCTCATTCTTTCATCATGTGGATCCTTGTGGGTTCTTTACTTCCCATTGCCACCTCTTGGTATTTCCTTTGGAATTTCAGACATTCTCATGGCATCGTTTTGGAACTTCAAATTCGTATATCATACTTGAGATGAGATGGTGATTGTTGAGTCCAATGTTTGGAGTCTCTTCCAACACCCATTTTGACTTGTGCACATTTACACCAAATTCCTCAAATTGTTCCTTATGAGCTGAGTTGCTTGGTTGAAATTCCCTAATATCTTGCACACCTTTCCGCTTTGAGATTTTCCTCTTCATTAGTCTGTCTTCATCTGGGGTTGCTTCAACGCTATACCTCTCCTCAATGTTAGACATTTAATTGTTCCTTGGGATTTGTGACCGTTTCCCTCAACCAAAATTGTAGGTATTGGTGAATAATCATTTTGCAGCCTTTGTGAACTAACAATGTAATTCACTTGCTCGGTTGTTGAGAAGAATTACTGGTTTCCATCTTGGCATTCCCCACTCCCATGGTTTCCTGCACAAAATTCACAAGTTATAAAAGGTGATGAATAGAATTACATTCATACCTCCCAATTGGCTTTGAAGTGATGCAATTTGTGCAGATAATGTGGCAAACGGATCGACTTCATGTAGACCCATTGTTCTCTTCGGCATTGCTCTCTCATTAGGTCTTTGTAGTTATTGTTGGCCATCACCTCAAGCATTCAAAGCCTCTTCTGGGGTCTTGTTATTTAAGGCTCCACCTGCTGCCACATCTACCATAGTTGAATATTGGTAGCAACCCATTGTAAAGTTTGGATTGTCTCCAAAACGGT